AGTATAGCATGTCGTCCAAAACCATGAAAAAAGTCACAGTATAGCATGTCGTCCAAAACCATGAAAAAAGTCACAGTATAGCATGTCGTCCAAAATCATGAAAAAAGTCACAGTATAGCATGTCGTCCAAAACCATGAAAAAAGTCACAGTATAGCATGTCGTCCAAAATCATGAAAAAAGTCATAGTATAGTATGTCGTCCAAAACCATGAAAAAAGTCATAGTATAGTATGCTGTCCAAAATCATGAAAAAAAGTCACAGTATAGCATGTCGTCCAAAACCATGAAAAAAGTCATAGTATAGTATGCCATAAAAATCTGCTGAAAAGAATGCGCATGCATATTTCTTTCTTTTAGTGTTGAATTTTAAGAGTTTAATGCATCTGGCTCCTGCTGTTTGTGTCCCACATGGCTTTGTTGCTCGCACTTAACGCTTCATTTTTTTAAGGGCCTTAATTGTTGCTTAATTGATTTATCAACTTTTAATACTCTTAAGATCCCGTGGACACGTTGTATAAAACATCTCCTTATGGCTTTAAAGTAATGTTGCTGCTCACAGTTTAACAGTGTCAGGGATCCCAGCGTGCAGAGCAGCGTCCTAGGCATGGTGGGACGCGTCGGGGCAGGGCTGGCTGTGTCTGTACGCCATGATGAAGGATGATGACTGGTGCCACCAGTAAAACATCAGCACCAGCAGCAGGTGCCACACCTGGTGACTGGAGCCCAGGTAGTTCAGCTGACCTGCAGCAACATGACAGAGGAGGAACAGAGCAGGAAATGAAACCAGAGTCTGACAGTTTGACTTTGGCAACACAAAACTGTCTGTTCTGTATGTAAAGACAGTTTGTAACTTCAAGTTGTCTTTTATAAAGTGTTACCTTTGCAGACTTGCTGAGTATACTGAGTATAATTTGATCATCAGTCTACATCATCCTTCACAACCGCTGATGTGCAGTAGGATGTATTTTTGGTATTTTTTTTGCAAAATAGAAGATTTTCAAAACCTGGAAAATACCAGATGACACACACATGGCTGTGATGTCTGAAACTGTTTAATGTGCTGCTGCCTGTATTCTCTTTCAAAGGAGATTTTTAATCTCAGTAAGGCTTTTCCTGTTTGAATACATTTTAAATAAAAATAAATAAAACACTCAGCTTTGAAAATGCTTCAAATGCAACAGACGCTGATGCTTAAAATTTACATTCGGAATCACACAAAGCTGTCAGTGCTGTTTGAGACCTCATTTCCCTTCAAAAATAAAACTACAACATTGAAGCCCTTTGAACATTTCACTGCTTAGTTACTGGATATAATAGTGATCATTTCTGATCAAGTATGGGGCTGTAAATCATCCCAAACTGTTTAAATCATTCCAAATTATGGAAATCGAAAAGTAGTCTCACCTGGGAAGTAGCGCTCAGGAACTTTTGAAACGTAGAAAATGAGTGCTAATGCAGCGATGAAGTACATCCCCAGGACTCGAGGAACAAAAGCCTAAAAGGAAAAAGTATTTATTCAACCAATGTGTGGACAAAAATGAACAGCAGCTACAGAACACTTGACGTAAGTGAGTGATTAGTATAAATAACATTATCAGATACAATTAGAGTCTAAATATTGGCGGGAGCTGCTTATCTTTTAGAAGCTGAACACTGCTACAACAGAAACAATTCCACAATTGAATAAATATTATAGCTGAAAAAAATCAATTGAACAGTGTCATCACTTTTCACAGCTGACATCAGTCCCTAGAGGTGCAGCATACATCAATGCATCTCCACATTTTTAAATCTCCACATTTTTCTCCCTTGTAGAACAAAATGATTTCAACTTGCAGACTAATACCTTTGGTTAAAATATCAATCAAAGCTTCACTCAGCTCAACTTAAGAATCAAGGCAGTGGATATTATGGTCATTGAGACAACGCTGAGCGTGCTGACCTGGACGAGCTCTGAGGAGAAGCCCCCAGTGATGCAGATCCAGTGGACGGTGGGGATGAGGCCGTACCCGGCCACCAAGCAGAAGATGAGCGAGCGCAGCTGCTTCCACTGCTTGCTGAGGTAATGAGGGTGGATCTGAGCGAAGAAGATGGCCAGGATCATGGCCAGGACCGTCACTAGGTACACCTGCCGCCAGTACTGCAGGGACAGAAAGGTCAATGGTCACACCATACACAGTTACAAATACATCCACTCCCTTCCTATTCACAGTGAACATACGTATACATTTCACTGTGTCATTCTAACATTTACTATAAAGGGAGTAAATTCTAAGGCTTTTCTACAAGTTCTACAGATCTGAGATTTTTGAAAAGCCGTCACACTTTGTCAAACTAAAACCTTCTGGACATATTAAAAGATTAATTCAAGACTAGGGCTGTACAAAATGTCATCGCAATGTCAACTTGCACGATAATTGCTTAGGACTGCAATACTGCACTTTAAATATAGTAACAATTATAATAAAAACATTACAATGTGTCTGCAGGCACTACTTTGTCTGATGCCTTGCTGTTAACTCTGTGGCCAATTGGACGAAGCCCTCGCCATTAGACACTGTCTGATTGGTCAGAGTCTGCATGTATATGAGGTTTATTAGACAAGTGTTGCCACACTACTCTAAAGAGTGTGACAAGGTAAGTGCAGATGAAAGTACGAATGTCAGAGAGGAACTGGTGCCTAAAAATGCATGTCAGCCATCTGACAATATTTTGGATTCAGGAGCGACAACGTGGTACAAGCAGGTACCGTGCAAGTCTGAGTCAAGAACTACGAACACTTTGATATCTGTTTATTTATTGCAAGTTATATTGTTATCGCTATATTCAACAACATTATCCTTCCTCATGTCGTGCAGCCCTATTCATGAATGAATGAATGAATTTATTCCGGTCTTACATCTCAAAATATACATAATTCATTCACACCAATATGTACATGTTGACTGAAAAGGTGTAGACTGAAGCAGAAGCTTATTTAGCCCACCCTCATACTCAAAAAAAAAACAACAAAAAAAAAAAACGGCTCACAATGCAGCCAATAAAAGGCTGATAACTGAGAAATAAGAACAATTTAAAACCACAAAACAAAAAAATTGAAGCCAAATCTCAGTCATGTATCTTTGAATTGCTGACTTTTTATATAATGTTTTTGATTGTGATAAAGAAGTGCTAAGTTTTAACTGTACTCCTTTAACGGAAATACAGTTTATTTTAGTGTTTGTTCTGACTGTTGGTTTTCTAAACATCTCAGTTCCTCTGAGCTCATAGTGTCTATCTCTACTTTCAAAAAGAGTCTGTATAGTGTTTGGAACAAGGTTATTTTTAACTTTATATATAAACTTTATTGTGTTCAATTCAACTAAATCATAAAATTTTAGTATTTGCAATTTAATAAAAAGTGGATTTGTGGAGTCTTTATATGCAGCATGATTGATTATTCTAATAGCTTTTTTCTGTAACATGAATATAGGTTTTATATAGGTTATATACGTACTGCCCCATACTTCAACACAATATAATATGTCAGACAGAAAAAGGGCGCAATACAATATGTACAGAGTATGTTTAAGTAATATATATTTGTATCTATATAGTATTGCTATTGTTTTAGATATTTTGTTTTTAACATTGCTTATGTGTGATTTCCAGGTGAGTTTATAAACAATAATCACACCAAGAAATTTATTTTCATAAACTCTTTCTAATTAAATTTCATTAATTACCAGTTTCAATTGAATTTTAATTTGCCCTTTGGAGAAGACAATATATTTAGTTTATCTATGTTCAAGGAAAGCTTATTAAGGTCAAACCAATTTTTTAATCTCTGTAGCCCTTTTTCTGCCTTGCTGAGAAGTAATTCAGTGGTCAAACAAGTAGTTGATTAATGAAGTGACAGAAAACAATCATTTATCCAGTAAAAATTCAAAGTGTCGGCTCCTTGCGGGTAGAGCTGCAACAATTAGTTGATCGAAAGAAAATTAATTGCTAACTATTTTGATGATCAATTAATGTTTCAGTCTTTTTCTTGTGAGCAAAAAATGTCAAAGATTTGATGTTTCCAGCATCTTAAATGTAATAATTTGCTGCTTTTCTTTGTCATTTATGACAGTAAATGAAGAGTTATAGGGTTTTGGACTGTTGGTTGGACAAAAGACGAAATTTGAAAATGTCACTTTGGGCTTTGGGAAATTGTGATGAGCATTTTTCACCTTTTAAAACATTTATAGACTAAATAATTAATCATGAAAATAATAATAAAAATAACAGTTAATTGCAGCCCTGGCTCCAGCTCCTCCAATGTGAGATTTTGCCGCTTTTGTCTGTTTTATATCAACATTTACTTAAAATCTTTGGCTATTGGACTATTAGTCAGAGGAAAGAAAGAATAAAAAACAATTTCAAGACTTTAACCTGAGCTCTGGGAATGTGTCTCTGTGTGACTGGGAAAAAAAGATGAATCAAGAATTAAACGATTGTTTGCTGAAGCCATAAAATGTTTTCTGTGATCCAAATCAATTGAGGAAACTAACACCTCAGGTTTGATAGCTACCATTTCATGTATGGGTTTATTCAACTTGCATATATTATTTGCACTTCCTCAGTAAAAAAAAAAAAAGAGCGAAGATCTAAGCATGTGCTAAAAACCGTCTCCAACTGTTTCAAACCTACAGCGAGTCGTCACTGTTAACTTAAACTTCTATAAGTAACTGTGCACAGTCTGGACAGCCTCGTCTCAGTCCCTTCTGTCCATTTGTGTGGATGTAGGCCTCCGTCCAGTCACACGTCCTCATGTGACGAGTCCTGCTGAATTTCACAGTGAATAAATTTGCACCAGGAACAAGGCCCCGCTCGGCTCCAGCCAAATTTCTTAAGCTCTTCTCCTAACAGACACCGTGTTCTCTTCTCCAAATCTGCATCTCTAAAACACTCTGACGAGACAAGAGTTTGACTGGCTAAATATAAAAAAAATAAATAAAAAAATAAATAAATAAAAAAATCAGTTTTTCTGCAGGGACTTGGCTTGCCACAGGAGTGGAGGCACCCAGAAGCGGAGCCCCAGTCTTGGCAAGGACGGGGGGGCCCCTTCGCTGAGACAGCTCCCAGACTTGCGAACGTCATATGGTGGGGAACAGGAGTGACGGACCGCTCCGTGAACGCAGCCATCTGGTTTGGGCTGGAGCAGATTTCAGCTGCGTTCTGGGGGCAAAATAACCCAGTGCTTCCAATATGCGGGGGAAAGCGAACAGTAAGGAGTACAGCCAAATACTTCAGGAGTAAAAAAAATGTAAAAAAAAAAAAAAAAAAAAAAATGAAAAGAGAAGCAACCAGGAAAGGAAAAGAAATAACATGGTGGTGGGCGGCTGTCATCAGAGGCTGTTTTCCAAACGGCGAGCGCAGCAAAGGTGTCGTGTTGCTTATTCACCAGGAACAATGAGTCAATCAGCAGAGCCAGACTGTGGGCTCCACTTCAGCTTTATTCAATTACGGCTTCTCAGGCCGAGGATGAGCTAAAAAGTCTCCGGGGAGGACTGTGGTTAGATGTTGAAGCGATGATCTGTGCAGTGCCGCTCACACATAAAACATATTTACATTATCTATAATGTACATGAAGCTGCAGCACGTGTAGCACTACAGTAAACTTTGATTCTTCTAAAATAGGGCTGAATATCAAATCTCAATCCTTTTCGGTACCAACTCAGACCCACAATCTTCTTCACTTACTTATTCTCTGATCAGACAGTTTATAATCTAAATCATAATTTTATCATTTCTTGACCAGAAAATAACAGTCTGACAAAAAATATTCTCATCACAGGATCTACTTATTCTGTTTCCGAAGCTTTCAGCCACATCACATGAAATTCCATCCACAGAGGAAACACAGAGGAAGGCCACAAAGTGTTTCTGAGAGCTTCGGAAACAAATTAAGTAGCAGTCTGATTTTAGACCTCTGAATCAATGCCCACATCTCCAATTTAGCTTTGCATGAGGGATTAAGAACTTCACTGTCTTCTCCTTGCAAAGCTTCAGAGCTGCTGAACTATGTCCACATAAAACGGCAACAGAAAAATGGCAACAAGCATGGCTGAGACTGACGAAGCTGCACAGATTGTTGTAAGTCAACTGCCCACTGTGCCCAGGAACATCCCAACTAAAATAGCAGCCCCTACATTTTAAAATGTCTTAGACTGCACTGAAAAATGTGCTCAAACAACAGCTACTGGAGCGTCCAGTGGGATGGATACAGCAGCCACGACTTACTGGCTGGGACAAAATAAACTCAGATAAGCAGAACCCAACGTCAGGCTTCTGTGGTCACAATTTTCAAATCCCAGAGGCAGCAATTTAAAAAAAACAACAACCAGGTTGTAAACACCTGGCCCAGTGAGCTTCATGTGCACACTGACTGCCCTACACTCATCCTGACATATGCGAATGAGAGTAGATGAAGAAAACATTAATGCAAGCTGTGATGCTCACAGTACTACCCTATGAAAACGGCCATGGCTGGTTTAAGTGCAATCTACATGAATACATATCACATAGTTTACTGTAGGGAGTGTGTGGTCAGTGAGATAGAGAGTTGCGGTGGATGTGATGAGAGCAGAGAATCGTGTGCTGAAGCCGTAATGTCCACAGTCAGTGTGCACTTCAGTTTGTATGCTTCGTTTAAATATAACTGACTGGACATCTGTAAAATTCACATTTATTATTCATATGTTATTGCTCACAGAAGGTCTGCTCTTCTGCAGTACTTCTACTTTTATTTACATTGAGTCATAATGGTTATATTACGTGTTTACAAGGCTTGAAACTTATAGTTATAATATAGTTCTGTGACGGAAAGTTTTTACGATTCAACAGCTTAATAAACATCAATTCATGCATCAGTTCGTCTCATGTCATCATAACCTGCAGGCCTGGTCTACATTAGAGAGCAGTTAAAAAGTTGGCTGTATTCAACGTTGTATTGATCACACTACAGAATGACTTATATTTTGTGTACAGCGGTATAATATGTGAGATAACAAACATCAAAAATAAAAAAATTGCATATTTAATTGCAGCTGCTCTATTAGTCTAAAAAATGGCAGAATATTTTTTGTCATTGTTTAAACCTATTTCAGACAAAATTCAAGATTTAAGAAATTTGACTACTTTTATCATATTACAAAGAGTTTTGTACACAAATGTTTTCATATATAAGTATGGGTATTAAGGTTGCAGATTGTAAGCACTTTCATTGATTGATCACTTGTAACATTAATGATCAATCAGTTGATTAATCATGATTTAAAAAAAAAAACATACCATACTAGGAGACTAAACATTGTGTATATTTAAGAATAGATCTTTATTTGATCAATTATATTTCACATATTCAATCAAACCCTTAACAACCTATTAATCGATCATCAATTAATCGTTATCAGCCTTAACAGCTATCAAAACAGTACTGTTTTGGTATTGATACCAAAGTAGTAATGAAAAATTGTGGGATTTTCTCAGATCATGGAAGTAGAAAACATGAAACAGTGCAGCAGTTAAACTGAGTCGGAGTGTAACTGAGTCAGGAGCAGCATCTGAGTGCAGCTTTTTACATTTAGCACTTTAAAGGATTTTAAACTGACACTCTGACACTGACACTGAAAAACCAAGTGACTGATCTGTCAGTGATGTTTAACTTTACCCTTGTAGACTCAATTAAACCCTAATACTTTTTTTATTGAATCCCTAACTGAGTAAATGTAATCATTTTATACATGTTTTGGCAGACCAAAACAGTGACACATTAATTTTTGTAAAGTCAAGCTCAGGAAAGTCAGACACTGGGCTAAACTTAACCTTTGTTCGATTAATAGCAGCTACCTTCAAGCAGATGCTGCTGATATTTTTGCAAGCAAGAGTGTGAAATCTAAAATAAAACTTTAGTGCATAAGCAGGCATCAGATACCGCTGTGTGCAGACACATGACATCACATCTTATCCACTCTCTGATTATGTTCCTTTGAATGCAATTTAATTATCTATTTCAATTTGCTTGTTTTCTTTATTTTAATACATATTGTTGTTACTATTTATGTCTGGTGTATATAGTTTCCAGAACCTGTAATTCTTATTTTTTCATGATTAATTTGTATATAATAGATGCTCATATTATGTATAGTATCCTGCTTTTTAAAAATTATCTACACTATGAAATCTATTCTTGTATTTCTGCTGCTGTGACACTTCAATTTCCCTGTGTGGGATCAATAAAGTCAGTCTTATCTGATATGATCTGGTGTGCTGCGGTGTGAAGTATAGCTGCAGGTGAATTTTCTGATTTAATACCCTTTCAACAGAAAGAAAACATCCCTGACAAATCCCTAAATTGGCATGCAGATACTGGAGGCAAATCAGAGACCACAAGTCGAGATAAATCAGAGAGGTGAACTTACATTATTACAATAGAAGGTGTAGAAGACTCCGGGGACGTAGCAGCCCAGGATGCCGATGGAAACCCCTGCGTAGTCTAGCGCCATCCAGCGGCGGCTTGTCTTCTCCGAGCGGTGGCAACAGAACAGGTGATAACCCACTGAACACAGCATACACAGCTGAGGATGGTAAGATCCAGAGGAGACGACAAGGGGAGAGTCAGGCATTGCAGCAGCGAGGGATGTGATACGACAGCAAGATAACAAGTAAGAAAATATTATGATTTAACCATTTTCATCTCAAAATTCTGCCTTTTTTTTTGATAGACTCATTTTTTTTTTTATTTATTTATTTTTTTTTTAATTGGACTTGAAGACTCTGGTTCTCGAGCCTGGTCCAGCCAACTGCTGGACTGATTATTTTTCATTTGTTGAGAAGAACTGCCAATATTTTGGATAAGGTCTGATGTCCTTCTGTATCCACTCAGATTAAGGTAACACCATGCAATTGCCACATATTCAGTTTCCAGGATATTTGGCTAAACAGCCACATTGCTCAACATAAGGAGAAACCATGTTGTCACATAACATAAAACAAGCCCTGCCTAGGTAAACTTGGCAAACTTAAAAATGACAGAAACAGACCTGAGATATCGTTTGCAATTCATTCTTATCTAGTATTCATTACATGACGGGGGAAAAAAAGCAAGAATTCGGACTCAAAAAGTGAGTTCATGGTTTGCCACTAGATAGATTTCTATACTAAAACCTGAGATCTGAAACTTTGACAAAATAAATAAAACAATCCGTAATTTAAAAGATAATTAATATGGTGTTTTAATGACGTCAAATATGACAATGATGTTGAATCCTGCTCTTTATCAGAAGAATTCACTGCAACAGCTCAACTATCAGAATGATGTAACACCACCGGCTCAGTCACTGCCATTTTCTGTCTCTATATTAAGCAGACTGTATTGGCAGCATTATGTGCACAGAGATCTGACCCAACAAGATAATCAACATTTGAGAATAGCTGACTAAGGAGAGGCACGATTACTATACTTGTTTTTATTTTATAATAGTCCATCATACAAAGGAATTTATTAACACTTGATGAACTTAAAACATAATGGATGCCAGTTGAACCACACCACAGCCTTACTGTAACATCAACCAAACTACCAACTAGTGAAAATGTAAGATGTAAGGCGACGTCCTAATTTCTACTGACTGTCATGGCTGAAATAAACTGGGAAACTCAGTCCTGTACCTGGAAGCAGAAGAGCCCGATGGAGTAGATGACGTAGTCCTCTTTGGAGGCGCTGATGGCTGGCAGCACCGAGGCCATGTTGTACACCCCGACAAAGAAGAAGAGGAGGAAGCCCAACAGATGGCTCCAGATATTCACCGTCTCATTGGACAGAATGAAGAGGCTGCACAGAGGGTTTACAAACGTTAAACAGTCACTGAGATAAAAAATCCATTCTGTCTTCTCCTTTTACTACAGACTGAACAATCTCAACCACACAGACCGTAGTATTTAAAGGAATACTAAGCAGGATTGCCAAAGTGAAAGTGAATGCCAGCCCCAGGTTTGCTCTTCTGTTGGCATTTTGCGACACTATATTTACCCTTTTTCTGCGCTGTGTGCACGATTCTTATAGCTTCCTCTTAGATGCATGCCACTTATGGTCTGGCAACTAGTTGCTACCTTTTGATTAAGCCCCAACCTCACCTGCCCACTGTGCCCAGGAACATCCCAAACACAGCAAAACAAAAAGAAAATAAGAAAATACAGGCAAACAGGAGAGTCTCTGCAGATAAATACAGCGCCACACACTTCTAGCAGGTCATAAGTGATGTTTGAGAGGTACTACTTTTTTATGAGTCTATTTTTCTTTTTAATTCAAACATATTTATGCTGTATGCATGTACACGCAGAATGTCAATCCCTTGGCTCAAGCAAGGTTCAAGATCAAGGGCCCTGACACACCAAGTCAGTTCATTAATATCATCAAGTTGGTGATGTGTCTTGCACCACTGGCACTAGTTGGACCTTGTCAAGTTTTTATGGCCAATTCAGGATGTTTAATCAGCATCAGACATTGTGAGGCCGGTCAGTGAGAGAATTCACTCTGATTGGCAGTTCAACTCAGCACACGAGAGGAGAAACGGAAGTGAGGAAAGTAAACAAACTGCATAAGCCAAAGAGGGCGTGAGACTGAAACAAACTTGTCATATTAAGTAACATTATTTTTTTGCCCATTGAGCTCTTTAGCAGAAAAGTTTGTGTTGTTGTTCATTAGAGCATGGCAAGTACCCTTAGTTCTTTCAACATTGGGTTGTCTTGTTAACATGCTAACTGGCTAACTAGCATCTTGAATCCGTCCTGTTAATCTTCCAGTATACAGACTACTGCTGGTTTGAAGAGTTATTTCCTCACACAGACGCAGAACTTACATACTAGTTGGACACTGTCTTTGTGGCGTGTTCAAGTACAACTATCTGGCCAAAACAAAGGTGATGTGAGGTGACCCAATAGTCGGCCTTCCTTGCTAGTAGTTTTCTTTATGTTAGTTTGACTTTGAGGAGGAATGAATTTGGTGTGATTAGCTGCTGTAACTGACCAACAAAATTATGTTGCTTCAAAGACTCAGAGTAAAGTTATACCATTGATTTTGTCAGTGTTTGAATACTAGCATTAAGTAGGCAAGTAGTGGCCTATCTGTGGGGTATTTGTCTGGGTATCAACCTGTTTTTAAGAAGATGAATCTGTAAAGGAAGGCAACTAAAACAACAGAAGAACCCACAAAAAAAAGAAAATGTTTGTCTGATCTGTCATAAATGAAATCATCCAGCTCTTCTATTGTTGAAATGTATCATTACATAACAAAATGCTGAGTTAAATTAAATAAAACCAGGTCAGAAAAGTCCCTGAGCCAACCTCTGGAGTTGACTCTGCACACTGACTTCCCTGAGGAGCAGTCAAGACAACTTCTCCTTTGAGGATTAATAAACTATTACAACATTACTGCTCACCTTTTAATGCACAGTCTGGAGGGCAGGTAGGCTCTGTATCCATCTGTGATGTAGGGGTTCTCCCTCAGAAACAACGGGATCTGTTCATAGGTGTACAGTCTGATTCCTCGAGGCACCAGCACAGGCCAGTACTGATAACCTCCCAGCTCAATGTAGTGTGTCGTCTGAGTGCTCTTTTGGGGTTTTTGAGGCATGGCTGGGCCGTAGGACTCTGCCTTAGTCTGACCTGAAGCTGAGAACAAAAAGACAGATCCATTAAAGCCTGCATCCTCACATGATAACTCTTATTAAACTTTATAGCATGGTTGACAAGTTAAATGCTGTCACACTTATTTTTAAGACTGTGGCTTCTCAGTTTATCTGATCTACAAGCCACTGTGTCAGGCAGGAGAGTTTATTTTACTGTCTAATGGAGCAGGGATACAAGTAACCAAATTACTTAGAGTTTATCTTTAGTGATATGCTGAAGAACATGTTAACAACTGACATCAGGGACAAGCTGATTGTCTCTATTATCTGAGTGACAGGAACTTGAGGAGCTAACATTAGCTAGCTAACACTATTTGACAGCTTTAAAGGGGCAGCCATCGATTTATCTTACATGTGATCTCATGTTTACCTACGTTAACAACCTCAAGCTCATCCATTCCGCTCTAATTGTATGGAGAAAAACTAACACCAAACTCCGTTCAGGAATTTAGCAATTTTTGGCCTGACGTGCTGACAAACGTTTACGTCAACAGAACATGGCTCAAGAGTTTTTTTTTAAGAGACTCCAGACTCCAAATAATAATCCAGCTGGCATCTGATACTCCAATCACCACTTATTAATTTTTAATAGAAACGTTTCTACTCCCAGTCTTCCCCAACTACTATAAAATCGACTAGTTAGCCTAACGTCAAAACGCGGTGGCGAGAACTGTCACCGATTCTGACAGTTGTGATTTTGTTGACATAACGTGCTTGCTTTGACAATTATTATAAGCCGATTATGCCAGAAGAACCCACTTAACTAGACACCATATTAAGTTGAACCTTTTAGGGTAAATAATGCTGCCATCAACTAGGTCAATCTTAAAATAACTGAATTGTCAAAGCGCTTAGGCAGCCACTGGCTAATTACAGCTGAACAGGCTACACTACATGCTAGCTAACAAAGCTTTGTTTAGAGCCAATAAATTAACAATAAACTCACCTTTTAATTTGGTGTATGTGCAGTTTGTTCCATTTTGGGGCTTGTAATACGTGTTATGCATTTGTATGAATAAGTTAACATTAATTTAATAAGACAACGTAGTGTACATCAAGTTTCAGCTACAACATCTTCCAAATCATCAGAGACGTCATCAGTGATGGACCCCTCCGCGTGCCCCGAGACCGCCTGAGTAAAAACAACAGACCCAAACATAGCTGGCTTCACAATGCAGAGTAATAAACCAGACAAAAATAATAATAATGATAATAAAATAATGTTAACAAGACTGAAAGCACTGTAAAAAACTGTGGACCCTGTCTTAAAAGAAATCCAATTGAACCACAGTTACAAGATTAGGACTGAACTTTCACAATATACTTTTCCTTTTACAAAATGTTTATTAAATATTTGAGCAACTAAAAGTGACACACTAAGAAATACAGCAAAAATACATTTAAACAATATTTAGGTATTAATCCTACATTGCCACAACACACTTTATATTTTAATATTTTTCCTGTAGGGCAAAAGGACAATATTTACATCTCAAAAGCTCAAGGATTTGAATGTCTTTGAATTCTGTCTTGATTTGCAAAAATTTTGGATATTTTGTCACTCAATAAAGAATTATTAAAATTATGTGTTTAGCATTAAAAACATAATACTATCATGTGATTGTACTGAAAACATCAATATTAACTTCATGTATTGAAATGTCCGTTCTGCATCCTACTGTCCACACTAGTTGGTGGTTTCCTCAGTAAAATATTAATATACAGTGCATATTAATTTAACATAATTTTATATAGGTGTGCAGGGATTCCTGCATCTATCTGTGTTGGACAACCAGCAGTGGCACTCTGCATAATAATTATTTCAATGCACTTAATTATAACCACTGGCTCAGTCACTGCCATTTTATTGTCTCTATATTAAGCAGACTGTATTGGCAGCATTATGTGCCCAGAGATCTGACCCAACAAGATAATCGACATTTGAGAGTAGCTGACTAAGGAGAGGCACGATTACTATACTCGTTTTGTATTTTGTAATAGTCCATTATATGGAGGAATTTATTAACACTTTGCGTACTAAAAATGTTATGGATTCCACTATTAATCTTAACACAGCACAGCCAAGTGTCTCCTGCTCCTTTCCTTCAAATTATATTTACTCATGATTTGTTTTTGTTATCTGGATAAGTTTGACTGGCTAAATCAGGACACAGGCAGCCCTAATACTATTACAATAACACTATTAATGTCTATTTATTTAATTTATTCTCTACTAATGCTTTTGCCAGACAGTGGCAGAATTTCAGTCTTAGTATTACTGGATCTCAGTGCTGTGTTTGACATGGTTGACCACAACATATTACTAGACCAGCTGGAAACAGTGTGGGACTTTATGGCATAATACTAAACTGGTTAAATTCCTACTTAAAGGTCAGGGAGTATTTTGTCTATATAGGTAATTTTACATCTGAATGGACAAAATTGACATGCGGAGCTCCCCAAGGCTCCATTCTGGGGTCTCTTCTGTTTAACATTTACATGTTTTCACTGGCTCAGACTATGGAACATAACAAAATATGTTACCACAGTTATACAGATGACACACAAATTTACATTACCATATCACCCAGGGACAATGGTCCGATACACCTTAAGAACATACCAAGAACTTATTTGGAAAAACTTGTCCAGGCATTTATTTTCAGTGGATTCGACTACTGTAACAGTGTCTTTACAGGTCTGACTGAAAAAATCAATCAGACAGCTGCAGCTGATTCAGAACGCTGCTGCTTCAGTCCTCACTAAGACCAAGGAAGTGGATCACATCACTCCAGCTCTGAAGTCGTGACTGTTAGTTTACAAAGCACTGAATGGTTTATGGCCCAACTACAATTCTAGTCTTCTGCTACACTGTGAGTCATCGAGACCTCGTAGGTCTTCTGGGACAGGTCTGCTTGTGTCCCCAGAGTCAAGACTCAACATGGAGAAGAAGCATTTAGTTTTTATGCACCAAACTCACAGAAAACTGCAGGTCTGCTGAAATTCTCAGTTCTTTTGAATCAAGGCTGAAGACGCTGCTTTAATTAAATTACATATTTATACATTTTAACACTGCACTGTACCTTTTATACTTGTATTTAATACCTGTCTTAGTATATTTTAGCTTGTTGTTTTCTCTTCTCTAGCTTTTTAACAGTGTCTTTAATTGAATTTAAAGTCCTTTTATAATGTGTTTCTTTTGCACTTTGTCTTGATGCTTTTGATGTTTTCATGTTAACCACTTTGAACTGCCTTGTGACCAAAATGTGCAACATTAATAAACTGACTTTGCCTTTTGCCATGTCCCTTTAATTTGCTGTTTGTTGTAACCCCTGTGGTAAAAAGCACGCTGAGTTATTTTAACATTAAAGTAGTAACGTTATCATTATTAGCTTTTTTTACCATCTTATTTTTGTTGTGTTATTCAAATGTTTACTAGCTATTTTTGCATTTATGAGATGGCATACAGTACAGAGCTGCCAGATACATTTATGCGTGAGGAAATTAATGTGTTAAAGTTTTAAAGGAGCACTGCACCAATTATACAAATTAAGTTCATTTTACTCATCTCAAGGAGCACTAAACACAGCTATATAATGATGACCTCTTGTGAGGTCTCATTATTTATAAAATATGTAACCTCAAAGTATGCTGGATATGCAGGTGTGGCCTGTGTTTAAGAGTAGGTCGCTGAGTGCAGCTCTCAGTCTCCTGGCCGTCATCCCGCCACACTGTGCGACCGTGTTACATCCTCCTGTCGCTAACTGTCATCCAGAATCCTCATCAGAGCGAGCGCTCTCCACAGACCTCTCAGGTGTGAGAGATGTTGGAGGATTCCCTCAGGAGGGAAGTCACACTCAGTCGTCCCTCTGCTGTTTACACCCCTCTTTAATTGCCTCATTCTCAACTGGAAGTGTGTTCTTCATTATCACTTCTAATACACCTCTCAGCACATCCACTCTGGCAAAGTGTCAGCTGCCAAGTTAAGATAGTAACTCGTGCATGCAAGGGCAAACAACGAGAATCTCCTGCTGCTGCAGTCGCTGCTCAGTTATTAATTGATTTTGTGGGTTTACAGTTGGCAGTGTTTGATACAAATGAGGCAACACCTTGAAGAAAATGTACAATATGTTTTTTTTTCCACTTTCTTTTCCCAAATGTTTTAATCAGGTATAAAATATTCAGTTTTCCACATGGTGCACAATGACTTCAGTTGTTTTTTCCCCTGGCAGCACAGAAACAAAATTTAAAAAGTTGCTAAATGGATATTTTAAAGCCTGGAGTTTGTGTTTCTTTGTGCTGCCATATTTCTTAGTTAATGGAAAAAGGAAGTAGCAACCAATAAAATTGTCTCACATAGGTTAAAGTCCGCTGTCAATCAAACAAAGATACCTTAAAAAAAATCAGAATAACCTCTAACTGGGTCACAGATTCTCAAAATACCTACCATGATACAGAATAGAAAGTCAAATTAAGTTATATTTTCAGAGTATTACAATTCATCTTTGTAGTTTTGTTGATCATTTCTGTCTTTATGATCACATCGTGTGTGGGCACAACTATGGTAAATATTCAGTCAGTCAATGTTGAACCAGGACATTGTCGCTAAACTGTGATGGATATTTACAACAGACAATTTGTGGGAAAAATGTGTTTGTTTTCTCTCCTGAATAAAGTTGGCTATCCTGAAGGTTTAGGTTAAGCAGTGTCACCAACTCTATTTAGCGATTACAATATCATTATTCAGTAGGAATGTTGGCTACAGCTACAAAATTAAAAATATAATTTTCTTTAAAATATTAAGACCATAATGTCTTCATTGTGGAATAATTTGTTCGACACTATAAAAACATTGACTTTCTTTCCTGGAGTAACATATGAAGATCAATATCACTCCCATATCTTGGTGTTAAGTATGGAGCTTCAGCCAAATGGCAATTAGCCTGGCTTATCATAAAGACTGAAAGCACAACCAACGCTCTAAACAGATGCAGGATATGTGAAGCAGCCACCATGAAGCAAGTATAAGTCTGGCCAAATTGCTCTTGGAGGCAGCATCTAGTGGCCATTAGAGGAAGTGCAGCTGGCAGCATGTTTAGCTCCAGCATTTCGCTCTTTGGAAAAATGATCTGTGATTTAGGGTTTAAACAGAGATACTTTTGTTTTCTATGCAGCTTCAATTACAAGATATATACACATTGTGTAAACACCCAACTGCACCAAAATCATGTGCCATCAGTACCTTGTCTAAACTACTAATTTTTAAAAAGGTCAGAAATGGTAGCTGTGAGAGTTTCAAGGTTTTTCGGGTGTCTCCTTCAGCACAGCGCAGTTGACTACAGTCAGCACTCCAGACCCTGGTACATTCATGATAGAGGACACACCTCTCACATGCACCATGGACTCTGACGGAGGTTTTTCATTAGGACGACTCCCAGTCTCCCGCCCCACCACCTTCTTCCTGACTCCTCACTGATTCACTGTGACAATCTGTCGTCGGCCCCCTTTTTTTTTTTTTACCTCAATCTTTGTCTTTGATTTCTTTCCTCCATTTTTCTGTCAGACTTAACGCAGAAAAATGTGCCAGGATGTAATTGTGCACTTAGTCGGCGTGTAATGGAACATGAAATTAAAGTGCTCCTACTTATACTCTGAATGTTTCTTATAAAAAGCAGGGGGTGATTTGTGTATCGGCCATTTTATCAGTGTTGAAATATCACATTCGTGCTGATTATCCCAGAGATGCTGTAAGTGTTCCATGTTATGGCCGACTTGGGATATTTTCCTTCATAAAGCGCTAACTGTGGGTGCGTCCTACAATGAAATGTGCAATAAAACGGTGCTGCATTACATCTTAATTGAGGGTGCCTGCACTGTCTTGGCAAGTGAAAGTCCCTCCTTTCCAAACAAGGCGTTGTTAGAGTGGTTTAAATGGAGACAGACAGGCCCCCGGGCCACCAATGTCCTTTGGGATTGTCAGGGTCATCAATGAATCACAAGGCTACACTGGTGCGCTCCTCTCCGACTGTTGCACTGCATTTAATGGCATGTTACGTTATGGTAAATACATTAGATGTTATACTCCCTCTCACT